ACCTGCTTACTCACAGTCAGAGCTCTGCTGAACACCAGGGACCCTGAAAAATTAGCCAGACTCTGCCCTCAGGGAACAATCGATCACAGCTGGTAAACAAGAGTTACCCTGTGCAGAGGGAGCTATAACGGATGCAGAACATGAAACACTTTGTATCTCAGCTCAGTGTAGTTCTCTGGGTTAAACACACCTTTTTCAAGAGCATAATTTAATATCAAACGTCCTCATTGGGGTGAAGGGTTGAGTGAGTCTGGAGCTAGGAGAGCAGCCTTTGAAGCAAATGCCACCACTAACACGAGGACAGTAGGTTGTCATTGTCCACTGAGGACATGGAATGGCTCCTTCCAGTGACTCAAAGTGCAGATTGTACGTTTTATTCCTACGTAACTTAAAACAGAGCACATCTAATGTTCTGTGTCACCTGTTACGTCTCCTGGGCATGTTAATTTTGCTGGCATTCTCAGGAAGGGTAGCACATCCACAGTGTGGCCCAAGCCAAACCACTGGCATCCTGCAAACTCCTTCTTCTCCCATTGACCACAATCAGCAGTCCTTATGTTTCCCTCCCTAATGTATCTCATCCTTCCTTCCTCTCTTCCCTCCTCCTAATAGCAGCAGGCTAACAGGTCATTCTCCCAAACCCCTAGGCTGGACTCTTAAAAGACACCCATGCCAGAGGGGTTCTTCTAAAACACAAACTTGATCCTGTCACTCACCTGCTTAAACCCAGTGAAAATAAAGCCCACATTGCTCCCTAAATCATATAGCTGTCCCTTTGTCCTTCTGTCTACTCCCAGTTCAGTCTACTGAGTCTGTCTCCCAATCCAGGCAGATGCAGACACTAGAGTTTTCCACCTAGGAAGCTTTCCCTTCCTTGGGTGTCTTTCTTGCATCATCCAGTGTTTCCTCCTAGGCTGGGCTTTCACACCCTCTCTCTGCCTCCATTAAATGTACTTAGAATGACTGTCTGTGAAGCCTTTCTCCATGGGGCTGCACTGGGGCATCTCCATCAGCAGGAATGTCAGGCAAATGACAGTCATCCACACAGCAGTGGAGTAGGAGTGATACTCAGATCTCAGATGGTTCTTCTGATTCTCTGTGCAGTGGTCACCAGAAACGGACGGAGGGTGGCTTAGATCCAAGTCTGGCTGAGTAGAGTACACACACCTTTGCATCCCATCTCTCAGGAGGTTGGGGCAGGAGGATTTTAAGTTTGAGACCAACCTGGACTACACAGCAAGACTATGCCAGGAGAGGAAGGAAGGAAGGGAGGGAGGGAGGGAGAGAAGGAGGGATGGAGGGAGGAAAGAAAGGGAGAGAGGGAGGGAGGGAGGGAGGTGGGGAAGTGAGAGAGAAGGGAAGAGGAAAGGGGAGGGAAGAGGAGGGGAGGGGAGAGAAGGGGAGAGGAAAGGAGAGGAGAGAGGAGAAGAAAATGGGAGCTTTCTGATAGTTTGTATAGTTCAGCAGCTTGGAACCAAGCCATTATGTGTATGTATACACGTATAGGACACTGAAGGTTAGGAGCAGAAATACATTTCATGGTGTTAGGGCATATACCTCTGGGCTCTGCAATGTTTGCAACTGGACACAAAGATGCCTGTAGATCTTATTCAAACTGTGAATCTGAATCTGCCACGTATCAGTACTGTACTAGATGACACACATCAGTACTGTACTAGGTACCTTCATTATAATGGCTTTTAACAAGAAAGAATGTCTAATTAGTCATCCAAATCAGGATGTTTTTAAGAGTACACTCAAGGACATTGGGTGTATGCTGGAACTACCCAAGCAAGGCCAAGGCTTAGCACCATTCTCCTTCTACCCCACTGAGTGCTTGTTGTGGTTAAAGAACTCCCACATGTTTGAAATATGTATTCCCAGCAGTTACTTGTTTAATGCCTATTTCCCTACTATATTACAAATTTAGAGTGTTCTCTCTATCAGAACTACAATGTCTGGAATATAGAAATGTGTTATATAAATATCTGTGGAAAGAAGAAAGAAAATAATGGAGTCAAAGATCAAGCCTCAGATATACTCACAGCCCAAATGAGTACCCTGCTTGGCACTCTCTGAGCTCCTGAGCACAGAATAGCTAGGCTGTTCTCACATTTCAGACTCATGGAAGCTTTGAGAGAATATGTGCATGCTATATTAAGCAGTCCACCCCACAAAAAAAGCAGTGAGGATAAGGGGAACAAAGAGGAAAGTGTAGGGTCGGGAATCCTAGTTGGAGTCATCTCAACTCCTTATAATGCCCTTGTTTGGGGCAGAAAGGTGTGAACTTCTGGGAAGAAAGTAGCTTATACTGTTATCTTAGCAACCAAGCATTTGCCAGCTAAACAGCCAATGATAAGTCAATACATATCATCAGCAATGCCCTAATATCTCTACAACTCACTTTTCCCTGAGCTATGTTTTGGAACACAAATGAATATCTAGTCATTTGTGAGCAAATTGATAGCTTCTGATTGATGATGGTGGTGACAAGCTTAAATATCTGCCTCTTTAGCCATTTGAATTGCTTTTCTTGGGTCTCTGTGGTGGTTTAAATAAGAATGGTCCCCACAGATTCATTTTTTTAAATGTTTAGGGAGTGGCACTATTTGAAAGGATTAGGAGGTGTGGCCTTGTTGGAGGAAGTGTGTCACTGGTGTTGGGCTTTTAGGTTTCAAAAGCCCAAGCCAAGCCCAGTGGTTTTCTTCCTGTTGCCTGCAGATCCAAATGTGGAAGTCTCAGCTACTTTTCCAGCACCATGTCTGCCTGTGTGTCATCATGCTTCCTGCCATGAAGATAATGGACTAAACCTTCGAAACTGTGAACAAGTCCCAATTAAGTGCTTTTAAAATAAGAATTGCCATGGTTATCATGTCTCTTATGGCAATAGGACATTGTCTAAGATAGTCTCTCTACCCATCCACATCCTCCCCACCAGCTCTTTTCTTTGGATTCATCTAAAACACCACTTTGTGCAGTGAGCCCACTCTGTTGCATCTGCTGACCCAGAATCCAGTGTTTCATGACTTATTATGGCATCCTTTCCATGGATGACAGTTTTGATCTACCAACAATATTACACTTGGTACAATAGATTATGTTATGTTCAATCCAATCCAGTTCAACAAGCAGTTGTTGCATATCTTTCACTAGCCAGACCAGGAAAACTAACAGTCCAGCTATTCTCCCTGAGAAGGAGGCAGCAGCAAGAGAAGCCATGACACTCTACTGGGAAGACAAGAACCAATAGAGAAGCTTGGAGGCAGGGGAGAGAACTCTGAAGATTACAGGTGTTTTCTGGGAAAATATGATGCAGCCCTACTCTCTGAAAGGTACAGAGATAGGACAGCCTAAGAGTAATAAGTGGGTTAGATGTACACAGTTGGCTTTCAACTGTGCCAAGGATGAGCTGGAGAAGGAAGTCATGTACTAAAGCTGTGGCAATGCAAGCCCTGACAAAAAGTGGTCTATCAAAGAACCCAAGAAAGAAGAATTCATATCCATAATCAAGAAAATGGTGGCTCCTGAGCCAGTGGGATCGCTCAGTGGTTAAAGGCACTTCTCCCAAGCCTGATGACCTGATTGGATTATTCAACACCCAAATAGTGGAAGGCAAGAATGGACTCCCACAAGTTGTTTTTTGACCACCATATGCATGCTGTGGAAATTGTACGTGTACACACACACACACACACACACACACACACACACACACACACACACACACACAAATATAGTAAAATGATTTTTTTAAATAAAATGGTAGTGTTAAAACCAAGGTCACTGATCTTTGCTCTAATATATGCATTTGTCTTTAAGCACAGCTTTATGTTGCTCTCTAATTAGCTCCATTTTTATTGGCACCTTCAGCAGAGTAAGCAGAACAGGTCACACTGGTGCATCTCTGAAATACCCCAACTCTGGAAATCTCCCTTAGCTACCACCATCTGCCACTTGATATGCACTTAAGGGGCCATCAAAATCACTACCATCACAGATGGGAAGGACTTGTGTATAATTTTACTGGAATGTCATTCAAACAATTGAGTCTCCTCTAAGCACCATTTTTGACAGTGTAGTTTTACAGTTTCACTTCACCTTGAATACTTTCAGTAAGGGAAAGCTCCCAGGTCATATACTCCATCCCAGGACAGTTGTAACTTGCTACAAAATTCTATTTCCTATGTCCCTACCTCTGTTCACCCACACCATCACTCCTAGGCACAAAAGTCTGCTATGCCCTTTTGCTGATAGCTCTTCAAAAAGGATGACTCTCATCTGTCTCCTTCTCTACACTACAAATGCCCATTGTCTTCTCTGATTTCTCACTGCAACAACTTGCTCCTCTGCATGAACATAGTGCAGCTCTGTCTGTATGGTTCTCTTCTTACTTCCAGAACAGTAGGCCCTCCTCTTCTCCAGGACCAGAGTCCCAAACCCAACCACATGGGCCCCAAGACTGTGCCATCTTTATACATTCTTGCTTCTTGGGCTATATTGCCCAGAGGTGTATGTGCCCTCCAAACTAGGCCAGCTACAGTCTTTTTGTAAAATGAGAGCAAGTCAGGGTAGAAGTGGGAGTCACCAGATGGGACACATGGCAGTCATGTTCCCTATGTGTGGAGTAGCCCAGCCTACACACTTCAAGTATATTATACACTGCTGGTATTCCATTAGGTTCTCTATTTTTCTTATACTAATTCAAGTTACATTTCTTTGGCTTATCATCAAGGAACCTTGACAAATAAAGATGTGCTACAATGTATTTCCTTCATTCCATTATACTACCACAATTGAGTCAATATTTATGAGAGGTGGGGAAAAGAAAGGGCTGGGAGAAGACACTGGGCCTGTAAAATTCAGACACGTGCATGGTTAATATCTTCCTGATTTTGCTCATGTAACCCTAATTTAAATCTGCCTGAGGACTTTCTCGTACAATTTTCCATTCCCAGATCCGGCCATTGGCCAGCAGCTGCCAAGGGCATCCTGCTACTCACTGGGTCATTGTACATCTTGATGATGAGTTGCTTCACTCCATGCAGGGTGGGATGGGCCCATGGAGAGGGATCCAGCCAGTGACGATTCAGGTCAAAGCCCATCAGAGAGCACCTAGACAAAGTCCAAACTGAGAGTCAGTACGGATGGGATGGGCTGAGTTTCCTAAATACCCAATACAATCAGGAGGGAAAAAGTCACTTATTGTTTCCCAGGTGGAGTTCTAAGCAGTTTACTAGGATTTATTAATTTAGTGCTACCAATATCTTGAGATCACTATTATTATGATTCCAAACTGATAGAAGAAGACACCCAGTTACAGAGAGGTTAAAAAAATACTCCTGTGACTTGATCCCACTTTCATACTTATGAACGCAGGCACATTACACAGTGCAGGTGAAAGAAATGCTGAGGCCAGAGTCACTGGTATCTCTGAGTGTCCCCATTATCCTTTTGTGTTCCATACCTATTGCTAAATTATTATCTTCCAAATATACAAACATTTTTCATCACTTCTACTGATACCACCTGAGCTTGGTGGTCTTCTTGTTTCCATCCTTGCCGCCTTCCACTCCAACCTTTCACACAATGACCAAGGTGATATTCTTAATACATAAGTCATATCTCTCCGCTGCTGCAATGGCTCCCTGTTACCTTGAGTATAAAAGCCCACATCTTTACAACAGGCTAGGAGGCCCCACTTCATCTACCATGTTAGCTTTTTTGGTCTCAGCTGCTTCTGCCATCCCTCTTGCTTGCTCTGTAGCAGCTACTGTTCCTCATGTTCTTCCAACACAGTAGGTATTTCCTTCCTCAAGGACAGTTCCAGGCTGCTCTTTTGCCCAGATACTTCTTCTCTAGGTACCCGAGTGACTCACTGTCCTGCTTATTTGAGTCTTTGTTCCAGTGCCACCTGGAGAATGATGCCTACCTATACTACATTCTCTACACCCTCTGTTAGTCACGCCACTGTGGCAAGTATAATTGTGACCTTGGTCCTCAACCTCTCCCTTCTCTTAATCTTCCATATTTGTTCAAAGTTCTGTTTGAATTTGAGTAGGGGTACTTTCTCCAGGTACCCCCATGTCTTCATACAGCCTACATCCTCTCCATGATAGGCCAGGCTACAGAAAAGCTTCCAACATCATTGTGCTTGCTCACACTTCCAATAATCTCGGTGTCACTGTCCAGTCCATGGTCTTGGCCCAGAATGAGTCTCCCCCATGGAGCTGACTATCTTGCTTTCTTGAGCAAGTGTTGCCTGTGGCCCATCACTTAGAAAATAAAATACTGATCTTTGCAGATTTTTAATCCATGGTCAAATGGATGTTAGCCACATCCCTGTCATCTCTTTCCCCTAGAATGTTCATCTTTTTCCTTCCATAGCCTTCTGCCCCTTTAGTTTAACATAGCTTGCCAACCTATGTTCCCTCTCTATTTTCCATAAGCAGTACAATTTTACACTTTCTCTCTGCTTATATAATTTACATTCCCACCTATGCCCTATTTGGAAAAATAAAGGACTATATTGGAGAACTTCCTCTCCTTTAAGATAATTGAGAAGAAGATGGGAAGGGAGACAAACAATAATGATTTTTTTTCTATCCTTTAAAATAAACACAGAGGGAATATAACCATGCTTTGTTAGTTCACACTTGGAGAGACACATGGAGAAAGACCTCAAAAAGAAGAAGTCATGTGAGTTGGACTTTGATGAAGGAGTGGATTTTTTCCCCAATGTTGAGGACAGAAGAAAATACATAAGCCAAAAAGGGAATACAAAACCACTTGGTATTTGAGGGTATTGAGGACAGCTTGCTTTGACTGGATCATATTGCATTTGGTAAAGGGTATTGATGGGAATCCATAGCGGAGGAGGGATGAAATGGAAAGGACACTAGATGCCTGGCAAGCATTTGGGTTATCCTTTGTCTCCCACTGCTGTATTTAGATCAGCCTAGTGTTTATGTTGGCCTCTCTGATTATGGAGCAAGAAAGAGACAACCCTAAAACTATTTACAACATCTCCATCACCAAGGGACAATGTGGTATCAACTCCTGTCCTGAGAGTCAAGTACTTTTCTAAGTACTAATGTTTTATCTGAATTAATTCTAACAGCAATCCTGTGAGGGAGGTCTGGTATATTCCCTATTGCCTAGCCAAAAATCACTCTTAAGAACAACAAACAGTCCTTAATATGGAAAGTAGAAAATCAAACCCCCCCTTCTGTGATATCAATAGGTCTGATCTTGGGAGGGTCTCCTGGATAGTCACAGATGCTCTGGTCACAATGGAAATAGTCATGTTGTACTAGAGGATGTCCTTCTACTTTTTTTTTTTTTTAGAAAAAAGATACAGTAGTGAACTTACTTGGGCTTGGGCATTTTTTTTAGTTGGGGGACTCTTGTTATTTTAATTCCCTTGCTCACAGACATATTTGGGTTGTTTAGATCCCTTTGGTTTAATTTTGGTAGTTCATAAGTGTCTAGAAATATATTCAATTCTTAGACTTTCCAACTCATTGGAACATGAGCTTTTCAGGTGTGTTCTGGTGACCCTCTGGATTATCACAATAGCTGTGACAGTGTCTTCATTTACACCAGCTCCCTCGATTAATTTGGGTCTTCTCTGTCTTTTGGCTAGTTTGGCTAAAAGTCTGTCAATCTTGTTTATCTTTTGAGAAGAATCAGCCTTTTGTTTTGCTGATCCACTGCAATATTCTTTTGATTTTCATCTCATTAACTTCTACCTTTGTGTTTTTTTATTTTTTCCATTTATGATTCAGTGTTTGGCCTGTTCTTCTTCCTATAAGACCACGAGGAGCATCATCAAATTATCTACTTGATATATCTACTTTTTCTGGCTTTTCCCCCTAATGTGTGCACTAATAACGACCATAAACCTCCTCTTAGAACCACTTTCAGTGTGACCCACAGATCGCTATATACTGTGGTTTGATTTTCCTTCAATTCTAGGACTTTTTAACTCACCTGAAATAGTGAGCTGCTCCATAGCTTTGCTTGCCACTCATTTCTAATTTTATTCCACTGTGATCAAATAGAATTCAAGAAATTCTTCCAGTGCTTGTGTCTCCATTAAGACTTGCTTTGTGTCCTAAAATGTGGTCTCTTTTAGAGAAAGCAACTTGAGCTGCTGAGCAGAATGAGTATTCTGATATTTCTTTGTTGACTCCTGTTTTGTCTCTGTGACCCGTTTGTGGGGAAGAGTAGGCTAGTGCAGTCCTCCACTATTATTGGGTTAAGTTCCATCTGTAACTTTATATCCATTGTGTTTGTTTTATGAAATTAGGTGATCTAATGTCGTGTGTGTGTGTGTGTGTGTGTGTGTGTGTGTGTGTGTTTAGCATTGTTACATCTTCTTGATAGACTGTTTTGTGAACCATTACAAATGACCTTTTTTATTTCTTCTAATTTTGAAGTCAGCTTGTTAGATACTAGTGTAAGCCAGTACTCCTGCTTACTTTCTAGCTCTATCTGCCCATCCCTACCCTTTTCTCTCCCTATTCTTCTTTAATTTATTGTTTTCTCAAAAAGAAAGTATCTAAGCAGCATCTTGATCTATCACCGTATGCATGCAATTCTTAATATCTTCACCTGCAGTATTACTATTCTTGAGAGCAAAGACAGATAAAAAAGACTCAGTCTCTTGGTGCACGGCTGGTAGAGCTGGCTTAAAACCCAAGACTGTCCAGCTTTAAATAAAACCCATGTTCTTGGTGCATGGCTGGTAGAGCTGGCTTAAAACCCAAGACTGTCCAGCTTTAAATAAAACCCATGCTCACCTAGGGAGTAATGAGTTTAGGATAAACTCTCTGTGTCTAAGTAAACTGAGGAAGGTAGATTGGCTTAGTGAACAAGGGTGAGTCCAGTTAAATACAGTAATTCACCATAGTTGCATGGAGAACCTTCTGAACAAACAAGCTCCCTGGTACTGTGATATGATACAGTGGTTGATAGCAGATGTCTCTGTTCTCAAGAATTTAGAAGCTAACAGGAGAAAGGAAAATGTACTTACATATCCTTGCACTTATATCCATTTGTAACTCAGAACAATGTGGGGATCAAGTGAGGAAAAGCAGATAACAGACCTAGGTTCTGGTACATAATGGTACCTCAAACTCATACTGGTTTTTTTTTATTGTACTTTGTTATCCCATGATATGTTATTATGAGTAGAATGGACAACTGTCTTTGCAGACCATAGGAGGCTGGAGTGGGTAGCCATGGTCAGAGAAGACCTTTTATCCCTTTCTTCAGTCAAAAAAATCAAGCAGATATGAGTTCAAATCCAAGCTCTGCTCCCTTTTAAGTATAGTAAGCATTTGTCTATATTTTTTGAGGAAATACCTAGCACCTAACCCTGTTATTAGGTGATGGATGGTGTGGGGTAAACATGCACATCCATATTAGCAAGGCGATGACTGTACTGTCTCTGACTGTAGAAGCAGGAAAAATCCACCCCCCCTTTTTTAATGTATTGTTTTATGTGTATGGATGTTTTGCCTGCGTGTCTGTGTACCATTTGCACACCTGGTGCTCATGAAGGCCAGAAGAGGGTATCAGATCCCCTTAAACTAGAGTTACAGATGGTTGCAAGCCACGGTGTGAACTTGGATCTTCTGGAAGAGCAGCCAGTGATCTTAACCACTAAGACATCTCTCCAGCCTCTCCATTCCTTCTTATTTGTAATCTGAAGACAGCGCAGCAGCAGCAGCAGCAGCAGCAGGGAACCCAGGCTTGGGCAATAGGCACATGTGTCCAGGATTTGGAGCTAGGTGATACAAGGTAGTAAGGAATGCAATGTGCAGCAGGACAAGGGCATCTTAGTCTGTACTGCTAATGCTTTTAACATCCCCCTCCCCCCACAAAGTTAAAAGTATTGGAAAGTTAATCCTCAAATTTATCTGTTCATGGTATTTGAAGGTTGGTCCTTTGGGAAGTAATTACAATTATATGATGTCACAGTATTGGAACATCATGGTGGCATTAGTGATTTTATAAGGAAAGGAGACCCAAGCCAGCATTCTTATTGTCTCTCCAGACTTTTATCGCCCCCCCCCCCACACCCCCGACGCAGAGCAGTGAGCCAAGCA